AGCGACGAGGCGCTTCAATGCAGCGGCCGCGGCGTAGTCAGCTCTGCGCCAGAAGCGATCGCTTTGCGTTTGTCGATAACAATGCACCACGGCTCGTTATGGGTATCGTTATGGCGCCACTCACGAGCGGCGAGTGGCTAGTGGTGCGCCTACGGTGATTCCGATAAATTGTCGATGATGATACTTATCGATATCATGCCTTAATCAGACAAAACTCTCACGCCCGGTTTATGAAACACTGATCATTTTAGAAGATTTTAACGGTGGTAGGGCCACGCAGCAGCCTAGGCTGTTGCACGAATGGGCTGGCCGATCCGGGTAAGTACCACGACCTCACAGAAGATCGGCTTAAGGTGGAAGTATGACAAATACTTTCGCGTTTCGTATGGTAAGTGAGGTAGCCGGAGCCGTCTGCTCGTTTGGCAACTTTTCAGATAAAAAAAGTCGATCGTTGGCAACTCAAGTATTAACATTGAAATTCCATTTGACGGCTGGTTAGTTGACCTCTACGATCATCAGTTTTTCAGAGACCGGGCGTCAATGCTATAAACTTCCGCTTTCAATAAAGTTATGCTCTGGAGTAGCTACCGCTGTGGCAAGGCTTTAACGGGTACATAAGACGGTGTTGCAGAAGACCGATGTGATGTCATAATAATAATCGTTCCTCTAAGGGCCCGTCCTGACAATGCAACTTAATCCCAACGGGCTTTGTGGATGCCCATGGGCGGTGGTAACCACATAATACCAGTAGAACCGCCTGCCCTTTTGCCATTTTTCACATTATAAAAATATATATTATTCATCAACCTACTGCCCTTATCCCACCCAGTTAGGGTCGTCACAACAGGTGAATCATGTTGCAAGCGGTTTTTAGCTGCTGTTGCAAAAAGGCAGGCTCGTATAGCACGACCTACGACTAGAGTGAAAGCCGTCTGGTGTGGTAGGGCCCACGCAACAAAACGCTTCTGCTCGGGTTGCATTAAAAAATGGGCAGGCTCGTCCGGGGTCACACAAAAGTAGCGTGTGGGAACGACCCCCCTCACGAGCTAATAGCTTAGACCAACAAATTATATCATATAATTATATTAAAATTCATAAACGAACTCAAGATCTTGAAATAAAAAAAATACCTTATTACTGATGACGAAATGAAATTAAATAAGTTATTCTTTACTTTCGCCTCACCCGTTAGTATTGTGTTGTCTTTTAAAATTCCAAATTTTTATTCAAGTTGCAAAGGTATAAAAGACTAGTAGTAAAGTACTGATTAATTATTAATCGACTACCAGTATGTATATAGGATATTAAATGTAGCGATAAAACGTAACAATTGTTAAAAATATCGATATTGATAGGCGGCACATCATTATGAGGCCCTCATCGGATACAACCCAAGCCCGTCAGCTGTCCTATCGATCCGCGAACTCATTTAGGACCCTCGATTCAGTCACTTCTATCGCTGCACGATACGTCATTACGTCTTCCGTGGTATTCGCAATAGCCGTGAGGTGTGGCAATAAAATTTATATTGACATGGGGAGTGTGTTATTCGAGGCGGTATTTCGGCCAAATTGGCGATACACGGAGACGTGTCAAGTTAAACGTATTTGATCTCGTATAATATCTAATTCCTATTGTTTATTTTTAAACTGATAAAGTGGCTTGAAAGCTCACGTTTCAACTGATTTTAGGCTTTATTTTATTAATATTTAAATGAGCAGGGTCCATGAAAAAATTGCAGTATATAAGCGCTTCTCCATTGTAACACCTATTTATATAATGTACACTTACATGGCAAAAAAATCATTGGATTGAATTGATCGCCACCTTTCAAGGACCTCATTCGTTCGTTAATAAGTTTACAGAATCTATATACTCGTAATTAGTAAAGTTCCATCCGACTTAGGGACATAGACATGAAATAATGTAAGTTTTTTTTGTGAGATTTGGCTATGATTATATTAATTATAGGCTAAAACTTTTACCCAAATGAAACATCATTAGGTCATGCAAAGTAAATAATAAAAAAATGCTACAAAAATTTGTTTTCCGACAACCCTAAGCTTGAAATAGAATAAGGGTTATAAATTTATAGAAAGCTATCGAGCTTTAATTCAAAACAGAATGCCAGGAAATAAAGTGTGCGATACGGTTATATTAAAAGTTTTGTATGTAAATATTAGTAATAAATTAGAATAATAGTTTTGTTATTAAAACGCGAAGAAATTACACATAAGTTAAAAAAAACCTCGTCAACGGAACGTTTAAAACTAAAATTTAACAGTACATTAGGGGCAAATTATAGTTAGGTTTGTAAGACTTCAGAGTTTATAGGCTTTCCGAAGTATGTTTCATCATAATTTATTTTAAATAACTGTTTGTGAGTGAGGTAATCGGGGCCCACTTTTTAATGTTGTGAACACATTTTTTTTTTATGTGAAAAGTTGCAAACGAGCATACGGTTCACCTGATGGTAAGTGAATACCGCCACCCATGGACATCTGACACCCGAGTGTTACAGATGTGTTGACAACCTTTTGAAAATCCGGCTACCTCACTCACCAGACCAAACGCAAATGTATTTTTCATACTTCCACTTTACGCTGGTTTTCTGTGAGGTCATGGTACTTACCCGGACGGGCCTGCCCATTCGTGCAACAGCCGAGGCTGCTGCGTGGCCCTACCACCGTAAACATGAACAACCCTTTAGGTGTTAAAGGTGTCCATAGACGGCGAAGAACAGAAAATCTACCTACCTAACCTACTCGTTTACTAAATTTTAACATGAAAGAATCAATTAAATGTCACCCTTTTCAGACCCGAGCGCTAATTAAAATCTTGTTATTTTTCGACAGGTCAAAGGAAGGGAGCAAACGCGCCCATAGCATAGGCAGCAACACCACACTGTAAACACGGTGCCAACCTCAACTTTGTGACTGCAACTCGAAGTTAGAATCTTCGCCTATGTGCATACTACGCGATACAGCGGGTTCATATGTGCGGAGACACGTCGGGAAACTATTTTAATTACGCGCCGCGCTGGGAACGGTGGCTTGCGAGATGCACGTGCTTTACGAGACTAAGCTATTTTCTTAGTTCGCATAATTAAATTCGTCACTAGATGGCGCCATTGAGAAAGTGCAGTTCTACGTAACTGTTCATCATGTGTGCACAGATATTATAGATGGAGTCAAAGCCTGATATTACTGAACTGATTGAAGCATCTTTAACTTGATAACAAAAACTACTGCATTATTCCAGAGCATAATTACTATATTTCTTATACTAAAATGATTTTCTTGGTAGAAGCTCAATATCTGTAGATCAAGAGGAGTATTTCATTTTGTTTAAACTAAGCGCATTTAAAAGTAAAGTAAGAGTATCAGCCTATACCCGTCCCACTGCTGGGCAAAGGCCTCCTCTGTACAGAGGGTATCAGGGCATAGCCCACCACGCGGCCCCACTGCGGATTGGCGGACTTCACATATTATCTTCGAAATATTTTCTTTGTGATTACTTCGAAAATATGCAGGTTTCCTCACGATGTTTTCCTTCACCGCTGAGCACGTGATAATTCAGCACCTCAGATCGAACTCGGGTTGCTCGAGTATATTAAATTAAAGGCGAGCGCCCGGACACTGAGTTATCACGGCTGAAGCGCATTTGCTACCATAAAAAATAGCACATTGAAGTATAAGAAATAACGTAGAATGTGAAACCAAAACTTTGACACTGGTCGTCTTTCCGATAATGCAGCAGAGTTGACGCGACGGCCCTGGCAAAATCCAAAATGGCGAAACAGGATGGCATATTGACAGCGTGACAACGGGGCTCATTGTAAAAGGCTTTGTTAGTGTCACCAAGTGTCGGGACTTTTGTGGACCGTGCTCAAAAGAGAATAAGAATTGATAATTCTTTTATATTAATTAAAAATAATAAAACATACATGTGTTCCAAAATTAAATAGGTACCTACCTACCAAATTGCAATTACTGAAAATGTGTTTTTCGACGAATAAAGGATTTTTTTTGCGGTTTCCAAAGGTTTGGATGGAAAAATTTTGCCTTGAATAATAATAACTAGTAATAAATAATAATACTGCAATAAATTCAGAAATTAATTTATATAGACAATATGTTTGTAGTTCAACCAATTAATATTTATGGGTTAATTAAAACAAACCAAGTTAAAAGATCCAAACCTTAACATAGGACCATTTTAACTACTCAAATAAAATCAAGTTCTAAAATCGATACCAACTGAAATAATAAATATGGAACAACTATAAACTAATATAGAACAGAAGTCCCAATTTCTTTCGTCTTAATTATGGTAATAGTAGTCTCACGAGTGGAATATTGCATCAGGGACTGGACACGGATCAAAGCTCACGCATTGGCTACTATTCTTCGTGCCCAGGGCAACGCAGATTAGGAGTTGTCACTACGACGTTAAATACGATTTTCGCCTTAGTAATTTGTAATTACTAAGGCGAAAATCGTATTAGGGCGAACAAGACTAGATTTATTTTATCCAGATTAATTTTAATGTCTCGAGAGGGACACAGCTATACGTAATGTGTAATTGGGCAGCTTAGTGTTACCAATTACGCGCGATAATTTAATACGGAATGAGCGTTTACGTTTAAAAGCTAACGGGGTAAATATCTTTGGGACGTTTCACAAAGTTTATATAGTTTTAGGAAGTATATAAAAATCGCTTGAGTTCTTTTAGAGATAATCCATTACAAGAGCAATACACAATATGTATATTTATAACATCAAATCATGTACATTAAGTACTCTTAATATAACAGTTTCTTACTCTTTATAAGAAGTCCATTTAATTTGTAAAAGGTCATCGACGGCAGCGCTTCGAGAAAGGATGAAAAAGTTTAATAGATAATATTGTGATTAAAGCATAAAGTACGATAAAGTGGAGCCTCATCTGATAATTTTTTGGTACACGCAATTTAATAAGGCACATTTTGTTATTACTTAGTACAAATTCTTATTACCTAGCAGCTGTGGTATAACGGATAATGTTAACATCGTGGATTAGTATTCTTTTTCTGTTTCCGGATACTTAGCTTGAGTTTAGGGATTTTATAAACTCTATAAATAGAAACATCTACGTTTCTCAACGCCCTTAATACATTTTCAAGACTTTGAAATACGTGGAATTACTATTTGACCTCTCCCAAGCGAACCTCCTCAATTATGTTTGGTCACGTACTCTCTTAATAGTGACCCATTTTAATGGGCCTATTGACGTTGTTATATCGCGAGACATTGATTCTATAGCCGGATATCCGGACGATTTACGTTCGTAATTATTCCGACCATTCAAACGTCTGGTTTTGTGTGAGCCTACATTGTTAGATAACGTCACGACACTTTATTACATATACGATACAGTTTAGTTTAATTATAGTGATTTGGATGAACTATTTCATCATATCATCTATTTTGGATGCAGCTTGAGAGGTCTATGTCTTGACTAAATTTTCTGCACGTACGTACCGTTGAACAACTGTGTAACGTAAATATATAAAACAACGCCACCTGTACCATGCAGTGTTAACTACACTTCTTACGTTCATTGATTATTGTTGTTTATTACTATAAGATCCCGCTAGATGGCGTTGTGCTACATGGTTATCTAAATTAAATTTAATCTTCGAAAAGTATCAGGCACCGCATGTATATTTTTAAAGTGTAGGTTAGTTACATTGAGAAATTGAAATAACGTAAAACAATAATTAAGGAAAAATACGCTAATCTTAATATATATATATATATATATATATATATATATATAATCCGATATCAGATATAAGCAGCAGGCAGAAAAGCCTATAGTAAAATTCAAACACGTACCTGTACGGCGTCGTCGAGGCACCTCCCCCAGGCGTCGCTGCGGTCGACCAGGGTGTTCCACTTGTCGGCCAGCTTGGCCACTTCGCGGCGGATGGAGCGAGCCAGCTCCCGGGCCTGCTCCTCAGCAGACCGGTACCCCCTGGAGTCGCCGTCGTTTTCGCGGCTCGCTATCGGAACGGAACGACGTCGAAAATGAGACACGCGAGACGGGAAGGGGAACATCATTTTCGACGTTCTCGAATATAAGTCGAAAATGATGTAGGAAACGAGAAAAGTGATAAGAAATCTCTCCATTTGTGTTTTTCGTTTTAAGGTTTAATGATTTGCGATTTCTTAGATATCTATACACTCAAGACTCGTGCACGTAATGAGTTATTTCAGTTCTATGTCCTCTCATATATGGTTGTTCTGCACCAACAACCATCTAAATTTAAATTTGTATTTTCAAGAAGGCTTGGCGCCATCTAGCGAGCTACTTTACAAGTATGCCGATACTCTCAAATAACAGTTTGCAATGAAAATTTAAACGGGACATGTCATGCGATCGCAGTGCTAAAAACTTTTAGACAATTTACCTATTAATCTCACATTTGAGTTTTTTTTAAGTTAATTTAGATTGTTGAATCAACATCAAAAGTGGTGCCTGAAATCCAACAACGTATTATTGCGTTGGACTAAACGTTGCCTCTCTTTCCACCGCTCTCAAGAAATAGAGGAGGAAAACGGATATAAAAAAGGCACTCGCGTCTTGCGCAATATCTCTTTGTTCCTTGGCGCAATTTTCAGGGCTCCGCGGAAAAGGCGGAATTTAATAATTATCGCATCACTTCCGCTCCGTGGGGTGCGGGCTTTTAACAGCGCGCTGCACTTTGAAAGAGGCCATGAACCATTTTCACGTGTTTTTTTATGCGACCACGCAAACCGGTTAAATGGACCGAATGGAGGCAGATTCAGTTTCGATAGCGGTTTAATATTACGTTACACCTCAATGGAAGCGGTACGCAGTTTTCCGCTTACTTTACACATCTACGGTTCCTTTATCGGGGCCTAAGCTAGTTAGGAACAAATCTGGTCGATATACATATTTGAACGGTCGATATCGACTTAAAAATTGTAGAATAAGACCTCAGAGGCCCAACGTGTCATTCTTATATTAGCAATACATGGTCATCTCAAGTTATTGGTAAACGTGTTTTCTTTGAGCCACTATGAATGTTGCTCATATGTAGAAACACATTTATATGTAGATGAGATAACATAGGAGACAGCACGCAGCCTTGTGGGACACCGAAGATTATGAGGTTTGGCGTTGGATGGCGAGTAGGCATGATTAACGACCACGTTGACGCTCCGACCCGTGGGAAAACTAGAAAGGTACAAAGCTAGAAAGCTTTTGCTATGATCAAACTGACGAAGAACCAAAGAAGGTATCTTACTAAAGCAGCCAAGAAAACCTTTCATAACGCGCATTCGAAACACTCCAACGTTTCGGAATTAAATACATCTTTTCATTCTTACGAGAGTAATTAAATTTTTTATCGCAGCCAGCGGAGAGGGGTTCTAATGAAAGAAGCAGGCTCTTTCTGTGTGCTCATTTCAGTTTTTCGGGCGCAAGCCATCCTATGCACTAGTGCGGGGCGCTGAATACACCCGGATTGAATCCATGTACGGCCGCGCGCGAATCTTTTCACGTGCCGGTATTAAATATTCCCCGTATTAATTTTTTCAGATGTTGAAATTGGAATGGGCTGCTTTGGCCGCTTTTGAAAGTGTACGGACATTCACTTTATGAATCGGTGAATGCGAAAGGAGATTGCACGAGCTTAGCACATTTTTATCTGATGATCGATTATCCGGTCTTTTACCTTATACTCAATAGATGCTTAGTAATGATTGGCAACGTGTAATACCATTTATTGTTCCTTATTAAGTCTTAGTTCTTATTGCCACGCATTAAGCAACTACTCCTTCGTTTTTTTTTAATATTGCTGTCGAGCAGGCTTCTCGTATATGTAATACGAGTAGAATAACTATTTTTAACTTTTTGATTATTTAAAGTTGTATTATTATCTAAAGCAAATAAATAAGTTAAACCCTCTTCCGTCCCACATCAATAGACGCTACTGAGTTTAACGAACGAAAGGAAAATAGTTTCATTAAATTGGTATAGATATAAATATGAAAGACATCTTTATGTTAAACGTTGCACCATTCAAAATAAAAAAAAAATCATTTATTCATCGATATAAGAAACTTATTTCATCTATCGACAGTCATATTTTTTTTAAATCTGCCACCGATTCGTAATGAGGTTCCTCTAGCGGAGAAGAAACAGGCGAAAGAAACTCCGTGGGTACCCTCTTTTTTGTCATTTTCAAAAGCTTCGACATCTTCCACACATATGTCACTCTTAACTGAAACTACCCTCCGTGCAACAGTTCGGCACGCCCACGGGCCGTGTCCGGCCTCTCGGCGTGGCATTAAGCGGCTCGTCAACGCCACCTGGCAATCGATTGGCAGGCCCGATTCAATTACCGGCCGCCCTAGATCAACGGGCGAATGCATCGGCCGTACGGAATTCGCAATTAATGCGCCCAGCCCCGCTGCTAATTCCCCTTGCTTTGTTGCAAGATGCATGTGCCGTTTTTACCGTCGAAGCGCTTTGATCGCTTTGATCCCCCACTATTAAGGTTTGGCTTAAAGATCAAATGGAATGCTTAACGACCGCTCTTTGGTCGAGCACAATCGTTTGGCATTGTTCATTCTGTCAATCGAATATATGAAGTAGGCATTGGATTCGGAAACGTAACGTGCAAATTTATGTTTGTAAAACGTCCTTACGAAACGGGATAATATTATCGTTATCATAACTTTAATTAGGACGTGTACTTTTGACGGTTAACGGGTTAGATTCACACTCGGTTAAAATATTTGAGCGATTCCTAGATAAATGCTGGGTGGTTGATCCTGACTGAGCCAAGCGACTCGTCGCGTAGAAAAGCCAATACCACTATCAAAACAATTAGAACAAAAGAGTAAGATGTCGGACACTTACGCTCGGTGTCGCTGGTGTCCGAGAGCGGGGGCTCGTTCGCGATGTACTGTCGGCCGCTGAGCAGGTTGCTCTCAACCACGGGCCTCTTGTCCTCCAACTGCCTCCGGAAAGCGCGGTGGTCATCCTGCCAAAAATAACAGTTCGGGTATTTGATCCAATTGACGCCAAGATTGTATGGTAGGGCATGCAACAATCTTCGCTATTGCATGAATGGGCAGGTCCGTCCGGGGAAGTACCTCTACATCACAGAAGACCGGCGTAATGTGGAAGTGTTATAATATATATAACTTATGTACTATATATAATATATAACTACCATATATAACTATACTTTTATTTTATATTATTAGTCTAACAATTATTTAAATTTCAATAGTGAAGAAGGGTGCTATATATCAGCGTGGGATCTAATAATAAATTTAATTTAATCTATCACAATGTCACTGCAAAACTTCAGCATACAATTTGCACCACACAGTACTTTATAATGTGCGACCCGGTTACCGCACTCAACGGACGATAAGCGAGAGTGGTAAAAACTCAGAAGCTGTTGCGTAGCGCTACCAAAGCTTTTCAATAAAATCAATCACACTTATCAATTAACAGTAAAATTTCCTAATTCAGTATGTATTATTGCAGCTTTCATGCATAGCGCAATCGGCGTTTGATTAATAAATTTATATTAAAAATAAACAAGTACGAAGGATATATGGATTTGATAAAAAAAGGTAATCGAAGAATATAAGAATTTTAGTTTTTTTAAATTGACATTTGCTAACGTGTCTCAGTCAACTCTTTATACACTTTCTAACGACTTTTTTTACACTTTTTAAGCGTTTCAAGAAATAATTTTTTGAAGCGAGACAGGAAGTGTAATTTTTGTTAAATCAAAAACTAACTTAACCAGATGTGCTAATAATTCTAAAGCTAATAAAAAGCACAAAGAAATACAATGTTAAAAACATTTTACAACAACATACGGACCATACAGTAGCATAACGGGTATATTTTTAAGATAAAAAACCCCACATATGTAAGGAACTAGGCAATAATGATGAGATATTGAACTTTGGAACATTATTCCACTTCCACACTGGCTCGTCCGAAGCCATAAATCCTTGAGATGAGGTCGGACGCTGTGAGTAACGTTGTGAATGCTACGGATCGACTGTACAGTTTATGTCTCAATTCTACTTCAATGTTAATGCTGTCAGACAAAAGATGAAATAAAATTTCTAATTTCTTATGGACCAGCTGGCCTACCTCGACTCTATGTATGTCCACGGATCGTGATGAAATTTTAATCAATCAGCCAAGAGATTCAAAAATGCTGTCATTGAATTATCTGTCACCATTTTCTTGGGACGTAATCATTTAATTTTGAGGTTTAGGTCTATACTTTTATTTTCATATTATTAATCTATCTATTATTATATATCAGCTTGGGATCTAATGATAAATTTAATCTATCATTTTCTCTAAAACTTCAGTATACAATTTGCACCAGAGAGTACTTTATAATATCGGTACTGAAATATACTGATTTGCACTTTCTGCTTAGATCATAGATTACATGATTTAAAAAAAAATTGTCGTAGTTCGGGTTAACAAGGACTTGACTTGACAATGAAATCTGCAGAAATTTCGAAGCGGGGGGGAAATTTAAAGCTTTATTTAATATGTGTAATGCTCCTTTATTAGTATTAAAACCATAAAGGAAAAGGGATTGCGTCTGAAATTAATATCAACATTGAAAGCTTGGGCGGTTAAGAGAAAACTCGCAATCAACTAACGAGTTGTCATTGGTTGTCACAGTCGAAGAAAAATGGTAATCCAGAGATTGAAAAAAATGTGGATACCACGCCAGTTACGCCAGGGTGCACCTCTGGCCTTATAAGTGTTAAATTTTATGTATTTTTTAAAGTTGTATAAAGTAAAGCGGTCCCCATTTTGTGAAACTAATGCTAAATGGCGTTTGATTTTTGCCCGCTAACTTGGCGTGTTTATGCAGGCGGCTTAGTCAGGGAACACGAGGGGAAATTATTTATGGCATTGCTGCGGTCGTTAAGGGCTTACTACCTAATGGATGTAACAACGGCTCATTATTAATTTATCGTCCATTTCGTAGAGATACTTTCGGTGTAGTACTTTACACGAGTTTTATACGACTTCTTTCCACGTTTTATCTATCATATCTTTGTGTGTAACGTCTATATAACTTTTACGTTCTATATATGTTTATTGGAGTATATGTAATTCTTTGATTTTTAGAGCGAATTAGGTGGACACATTTTTAAGTATTTCAGTAGTTAGTTAAGGTAGTAAATCATAGTAAGCAATTATCGTAAGGGACATACCTAACTTCCGTTTTATTCATTTACGTTAATGTGTTTGTACAGACGACTGTATCAGACAGTGGCAAAGTCAAAGAGAAGTTTATCTGTTTCAATGGTGGATCGAGGCCAATTGAACAGTTTGATAAAGTCAAATGAGTTTTGTTACCATCTAAGACTGCATCAATGTTTACCATCAGGTTGGATAATTTTGATGACTCCGTGGCGCATTCGTCAAGGCATTGACTTCGACGCCGGTGGTCGTGGGTTCGATTCCCACATGGAACAATTATATGTGTGGCCCACATACAGTTGTTTCTGAGTTGTTCACGTGAAATTTATGTTTGTAAAATTTCCATACAACACAGGACATTGTATCCTAAGTGAGATTAACTAATCACTTCATGAATGGGCAGGTCCGTCCGGGGAAGTACCTCTACATCACAGAAGACCGGCGTAATGTGGAAGTGTTATACTATATATAACTTATGTATAATATATAGCTACCATATATAACTATACTTTTATTTTATATTATTAGTCTAACAATTATTTAAATTTCAATAGTGAAGAAGGGTGCTATATATCAGCGTGGGATCTAATAATAAATTTAATTTAATCTATCACAATGTCACTGCAAAACTTCAGCATACAATTTGCACCACACAGTACTTTATAATGTGCGACCCGGTTACCGCACTCAACGGACGATAAGCGAGAGTGGTAAAAACTCAGAAGCTGTTGCGTAGCGCTACCAAAGCTTTTCAATAAAATCAATCACACTTATCAATTAACAGTAAAATTTCCTAATTCAGTATGTATTATTGCAGCTTTCATGCATAGCGCAATCGGCGTTTGATTAATAAATTTATATTAAAAATAAACAAGTACGAAGGATATATGGATTTGATAAAAAAAGGTAATCGAAGAATATAAGAATTTTAGTTTTTAAATTGACATTTGCTAACGTGTCTCAGTCAACTCTTTATACACTTTCTAACGACTTTTTTTACACTTTTTAAGCGTTTCAAGAAATAATTTTTTGAAGCGAGACAGGAAGTGTAATTTTTGTTAAATCAAAAACTAACTTAACCAGATGTGCTAATAATTCTAAAGCTAATAAAAAGCACAAAGAAATACAATGTTAAAAACATTTTACAACAACATACGGACCATACAGTAGCATAACGGGTATATTTTTAAGATAAAAAACCCCACATATGTAAGGAACTAGGCAATAATGATGAGATATTGAACTTTGGAACATTATTCCACTTCCACACTGGCTCGTCCGAAGCCATAAATCCTTGAGATGAGGTCGGACGCTGTGAGTAACGTTGTGAATGCTACGGATCGACTGTACAGTTTATGTCTCAATTCTACTTCAATGTTAATGCTGTCAGACAAAAGATGAAATAAAATTTCTAATTTCTTATGGACCAGCTGGCCTACCTCGACTCTATGTATGTCCACGGATCGTGATGAAATTTTAATCAATCAGCCAAGAGATTCAAAAATGCTGTCATTGAATTATCTGTCACCATTTTCTTGGGACGTAATCATTTAATTTTGAGGTTTAGGTCTATACTTTTATTTTTATATTATTAATCTATCTATTATTATATATCAGCTTGGGATCTAATGATAAATTTAATCTATCATTTTCTCTAAAACTTCAGTATACAATTTGCACCAGAGAGTACTTTATAATATTGGTACTGAAATATACTGATTTGCACTTTCTGCTTAGATCATAGATTACATGATTTAAAAAAAATTGTCGTAGTTCGGGTTAACAAGGACTTGACTTGACAATGAAATCTGCAGAAATTTCGAAGCGGGGGGGAAATTTAAAGCTTTATTTAATATGTGTAATGCTCCTTTATTAGTATTAAAACCATAAAGGAAAAGGGATTGCGTCTGAAATTAATATCAACATTGAAAAGCTTGGGCGGTTAAGAGAAAACTCGCAATCAACTAACGAGTTGTCATTGGTTGTCACAGTCGAAGAAAAATGGTAATCCAGAGATTGAAAAAAATGTGGATACCACGCCAGTTACGCCAGGGTGCACCTCTGGCCTAAATATATAGGTGTTAAATTTTATGTATTTCTTAAAGTTGTATAAAGTAAAGCGGCCCCCATTTTGTGAAACTAATGCTAAATGGCGTTTGATTTTTGCCCACTAACTTGGCGTGTTTATGCAGGCGGCTTAGTCAGGGAACACGAGGGGAAATTATTTATGGCATTGCTGCGGTCGTTAAGGGCTTACTACCTAATGGATGTAACAACGGCTCATTATTAATTTATCGTCCATTTCGTAGAGATACTTTCGGTGTAGTACTTTACACGAGTTTTATACGACTTCTTTCCACGTTTTATCTATCATATCTTTGTGTGTAACATCTATATAACTTTTACGTTCTATATATGTTTATTGGAGTATATGTAATTCTTTGATTTTTAAAGCGAATTAGGTGGACACATTTTTAAGTATTTCACTAGTTAGTTAAGGTAGTAAATCATAGTAAGCAATTATCGTAAGGGACATACCTAACTTCCGTTTTATTCATTTACGTTAATGTGTTTGTACAGACGACTGTATCAGACAGTGGCAAAGTCAAAGAGAAGTTTATCTGTTTCAATGGTGGATCGAGGCCAATTGAACAGTTTGATAAAGTCAAATGAGTTTTGTTACCATCTAAGACTGCATCAATGTTTACCATCAGGTTGGATAATTTTGATGACTCCGTGGCGCATTCGTCAAGGCATTGACTTCGACGCCGGTGGTCGTGGGTTCGATTCCCACATGGAACAATTATATGTGTGGCCCACATACAGTTGTTTCTGAGTTGTTCACGTGAAATTTATGTTTGTAAAATTTCCATACAACACAGGACATTGTATCCTAACGTAAGTCATAATTCAAAATTAGTGAGATTAACTAATCACTTCGTGTTCTTTGCTTTACCTGTTGCTTAATTAACGCGGCAAGGTCACCACGTGGCGGGGCCAGTGCGTTGAGTTCTGTCTCCTTCCTGATCACCCATTCGGTAAGCTCCCGTAGTGAGAGCAAAAGCGCGGACCAGTGCTCCGCATTGCTCTCCAGCCGGTTTCTGGAAACAGAGGTAGGTTTTATTTCTCTTTGTTTCTCACTGAAGGGTTGAACTAGTGTTAATTCTAGTTCACAAATCCGATCCTAGACGGATTTCTTTTCTCCCTTCCACTAAGTATTAAACGGTCAGACTAGCATTAATTGTTGCTCACAGTAAAGTGTTTGGAAGAATAGAATACAAATATTGGTTTATCGTTACTGTTTTTTTTTTTCAAACAATTGATCGTTAGAAACAAAACAGTAACAAGGTGCTTGTAACAGTTAGCACTGTGTGTGGTGGAATAGTTCGACTGGGGAAGTACCACAGCCTAACAGAATTACAGCGTGAAGTGAGAGAGCTAGGTTGCCATTTTTTCTATTTTAAAAATATTTAATTCATAATTTAAAAAATTAACAATTTCATAAAAGTAACAAAATTAACAATTTTATTGATGCCGGCAACGAAAATTGAACTCAGGTTGCTCGGGTATTCAAATTCAAATCAAATTTTTAGTGATTATCATTAATCCTTGTTAAATATAATGACTCCGTGGCGTATGGATGCCAAGGTATTGGCTTCGGAGTCGGGGGATTCCTACACGGAACAACTATTTGTTTGTGATTACATTTTTTACCCACAAATAGTTGCTTAACATCTGGGTGTTTGTCCACATAAAATTCATGTATGTAAAAAGTCCCCACAACACAGGATAATGTAATCCTAAAGTAAGGCCAATGTATTTAAAAAATGACAAGAAAAATGTGTTCTTATCATCTGTATCATATCGTTTGCGATAATCCAACGGGATTAAGTGTTGTTACGCTAAATTTGCTACTTTTCTAAGCAATATCTCAACGGCGTTGCGTACCGCGTAGAATTATATGCGGACCATAAAGATAGAGGTCTTGTCGGGGCTCGCGGGCCGCGGGGCGATATTTCAAAAACTTGGCTGCGGCGTAAAGCCCCAAGAACGTCTTCAATTGTTGGAATTTGGCTACGGCTCAGCTCCATAATATGTTTAAGCTGTTACTTTAGATAAAAATAGGGTTACAGTGAAGGGGTATCGATAAACATTTCGCAAATATCTAAAAATATGTCGATATACGCTATTGACAGAAATGATTATACAGTCTTCACATATTTAACTATCGCAATTGAATAACAACTCAGATTACAATGCCTACATATTAAACTATACCCGGTAGTCATATCCAAAAGTACTTGTTACCCATTACCTCCGCTAATAAACATATTACAATCAGAAACGATCTCAATCAAGCTACTCAAAAATTACACGATTATGAGATATTACATACTGTAATGGAAAATCTAAACCAATTCGTTCAGAAATTACATGATTATGAGATATTACATACTGACTTTAAACATCGATATTGCACGACAGAGCATTATTTTATATGACGACATCACTAAAGACGTCCTATCGCGCACTTCGCTTCAAGTTTTGCACGGACTCGTTTAGCTTTAAACTGTGATCGCAAAGTTTAATATGCAACCCTTTAAACTTGAACTGTAATTGAATAAAGACGGAATAGCTCCAACTTTATACAATAATTTAATTCTAATTAACTTGGCTCGAGTTAACTTTGAAATTTAATAAGTTAAGTTTATCAAACACGGGTAATGCCGACATTGGAGTTTTAATGAGAACTAAAAAGTGGAAAATAACTGCACAGTAACGTTTATGACTCTTTAAGGAGACATTTGTTAAGTGAAGTATAAAATTCAAACGGGCAGGCAAACTTTGTTGACGTTTTAGAAAAAAAAACTAGCTAATATATAACATTTATAAATTTAGATAAACAAAGAACTGATTCCAGAGATTAAAAGATAAAGATGGAAGTAAATATCACATTGCTTGTTTGCAATGAACGATCCAGATTAATACTTATACAATACAAATACAAAAATGTTTATTTCATTAACATATTTCTTTTACAGTTAATAAATATTTGGAGCTACCTTTTAAGCAACAGTTTTGCTTGTGTTAGGCAGCACCGCTCTTCCATAGCATACTTATAATAAACTTAACTAAGTGCAGTACAAATTTTAAAACTAATTTCAAAAATAAAATAAAATAAAAACATTTTCTCTCCGTGTGAGTGTATGTTAGTGTATGTGTTAGTATGTGTGTTAGTGTGTATGTTAGTGTGTGTGTTAGTGTGTGTGTTTGTGTTAACTCAACATCAACTCAATTTCAGCGTAACTTTTAGCTTTTAGCCATTCCATAACTGCAATTTTGCATTTTATGTATGTCATTTCATAAATATTTAGTTCTTTATTAATTTTATTGTATAAGACAATAGCTCTTGTGACATATTGCCTCTTAGCACAAACTGAATTTGCTCGTGTATGTTGCACCACGTTACATTTTCTTCTAGAATTATTATCTACATGTTGGTAAGGAAGCGATTTGTGTTTACTCAGCACAGTGTTCAAAATATATAATTTTCTAACAGTTAATAAATCAGTAGAAGAGTAAAGTAAGTCTGTTGAGAATTCTCTTGGCTTTAGATAGATAACCTTCAGCAATGATCTCAGAGCTCTCTCCAAGTCTAGAAATCTAGTTTTGACTGCCCCACCCCACACATTTATGCAATACGTCAAGACAGATTGTGCTAGAGATATATATGTTAGACGGGATAGGTGTTCAGAAGCCACATGCCGTAATGTTTTAAAAGTCCCTATAAGTTTTCTTATTCTAATCAAAAGAAGTTCAATGTGACCATGCCATGACAGTCGCTGATCAAGTATAACACCTAAGTATTTTGTACTAGTTACTCTTTTAAGTTCGGCATTTGTTCTTGGTGAAACAAATATAGTTACTTTTTTGAACATTAAGTGACTTATACATAACAGGACGTTGGACGCTAAAAAGTATTTTTTATTTTTATTTATTTATTTTAATTATATCGCCCGTGATTTATATGTTCGTCCTTACGTCACCAACAAAGTTAACCAACAAATGTAATTCGCAATTGTTAAACAGCCGGGCATTCAGTGTTTCCTTACCGCCGCTACCCGAGCAAATATGCACCATTACACAATTAGAGACCGGCTAAGCGGGGGCGGTAACAAAGGCCGAGGCACCTGGCCTTCCCCGCAACGCTGCCAAGTTAAATAAGAGCGCGTACAAACAAGCCGAAACCAATTTAATGTTTGCTGCCCCACGAGTACGGGACGTCCCGTTTTCCCCCACTAAAATTGCGAGCATATGCACCCGAAAAAATACTACAGGCTGCGCACAATACTCGAGATTAGCAGACCCTAGATTAAAAGACGATAGTGTTGGCGCGTCGGGTCACTTTCTTTTGTCTATTTCACCATAGCTTTATTAACACACTATCTTCGCCCCTTAACCATTCGGCAACGAAGCAAACGAAATTTTATGCTTCAAACTGTAAACACCTATATGAACAAGTTCAAAGACATTAAAATAGCTGTTCACTGTGCGACGCATTGAAGTCATTTAAAGTTCACGCCTCCGTAAGGCGTCTATCGGCCTATCTATTTACGTTTGTTTCTGTGGCGTTCTAGAGACTAAACCCGAAGGCCCATTTTAATGACTCTAATGTTAACCGTCTTTATCTTGCGAGTGTCACTAAAGACATGACAATAATCAAAATTCAAACGGCAAGCAGACTTGAAAAAGTTTTAACAGCGAATAGAAAAATTTGAAAAGTTTTAGTAGCTATTAAGCAGTCGAGTTTTTTTTACAAAATTAATTCTGGCTTTTTATTTCACTCACTTGATTGATTCTGAGCTGAGACCAAGACTTTTCTCTCGTTGAACATTTTGTTTAAGTTGGACTATAGGAGTGTTACATCCCTTAAATTGATTTATTATTTCCTTTTCATTGTTCTGTCACTAGTTTTTTCTACACCTAGCCCGTTTCCAATTGTCGGAGACGAGAAAAGCAATAATTCAAACGGACTGTATAGCGGCCATTTGAATATTTGGCACCGTAAGTGCACATTAAACACTTAAAGTGTATAACGCACATAAACTGATTTTACTGGCTGAGCAGTAAACTGAGCCGTAAAGATGTTTCGCAGAGGCCTTTATTTCACTATGAAATCACTATACGGACATTTACTGCTACCCATATGCAGATCTCGGTACCGTGTGGGGCCATAGTTCCAGCGGTTGAATATTACAGTAAAATTATATGGAGCAGTTTATTAATTATTCGAAATAATTTACCTACCGTCATAACATTTATACGGTGTTGGCAAAAGTTGTAGGATTTAATATTTACAGATCTATTTAAAAGTTGTCTTGGTTTAAAGCCCGGTAGACACTTATTAGCTTAAAGGCACATCATAATACATTGTTAATTGAGAGTTTTAATTAGAAGAGTAACTATGGTAAGGTCACGCAACAGTCTTCGGTGTTGTAACATTGAACAGGTCCGTCCGGGTGAGTACCACGACCTCACAGAAGACCGGCGTGAATGGGGCGGGGTTACACTTCCGAGTTACGTCTGTAGAGTGAGGTAGCTGGGGCATATAAAAAACTGGCAACACATCTGCAACCCTACGGGTGTTGAAAATGTCAATGGGCGGCGGTTGTTACAAAACATCAGATGAATCGCCAGCTCGTTTGTCACCGTCTCATATTAAAAAAAAAAAAACAATTATTGCCCTGTGAGAAGGTAAATAAAATGTCTATCATCGCACATAGATATTTTTCAAGTATTTAGAACCTAAGGAGTCAACCATGGTTACCTCATCTAACAGAACAACATCAAAAGAACGGAAAGTTCCATTTTGTGAAGCCAAGTTGGTCGTTTGTCATTTTTGCTACAGCCTAGACAAGCTTTTCCAGAGGCTGGCGTGTGGCTCCACCATAATTTTATTTGGTTTTAATTAAATATCCCACTACTATATCTTTATAATCTATACATTTTCTATCAACAACGGGGTAGCTTATGTTTTGTTCATTCCATTGAAAGCTTACCAGAAAAAGAAACGAATAGTCTTACACGCTTTAATCAGGTT